GTGTTTTGTTTGAACAAACAATGCATGAAACATATTCTGCTGTAGCCAAACAAATTGATTTATATGATATATATATATATATATATATATATATATATGTTGATCTGATTGGGCTGAAGTCAGTGCTTGGTGTTTCCACATTCACAGTGGAGCGTGTTGGTGTTTAGTGCTTACACAGAGACAGATGAAGAGTGAACAGGACTTCAGCAGAAAAACAGACTTTTCTAGATGGAAATATCAGCACTATTTAAACTCACTGAGGTTAAAGGTTAAAGGTCAACATGTGCACCTCGAGTGCACATTATGTTCCAGAACAAAACAAAAAAGTAACACAATAGTTACTTTTACTGGTAACTAGTTACTTTTATAGTGGAGTAACTCCGTTAGTAACTCAGTTACTTTTTGGGAGAAGTAACTAGTAACTATAACAAATTACTTTTTCAAAGTAATGTGCCCAACACTGTCTCTATGACACTTCCGGGTAGCGAGCAACCACGATGGATGGCTAGTTAAGCGCTCCCGATAGCAAAGTTGGTAAATCCCCCAGATCAAGACCACCGTGCCTTGTTACTTGAATTTAGACTGGAATGCGCGGGGACGTGAAGACTAGAAGTCGTAGAAAAGGAGAACCGGAACGGGCAGCCGATGGCAGAAACGGAACAAGGTGATGGAGCAGAAAGTGTTAGCTCGATGCTAAGAGCTATAATGACGGATCTGCAAGACTTCCTCGCTTAAAACTGGAATGACTTTTGGAACATGAAAGTGGAGCTGAGAAACGACATGAAAGCTGAGCTGGCGACGCTGAGAGATGAAGTTTACAAAAGTATTTCTGAAAATACTGAGAAGGCTAATGCTCAAGATCAAGCTAGCTGAATTGGAGGCACGTATCACGGAGGCGGAGATACTGACCACAGCCATGAAAGATGCTTGACAAATGTGATGACAAACCAAATGATTGTGCAAAGTAAGCAGACGGACATTGAAGGGAGGTCCAGAAGAAATAAAATTCGGGTAAATAGTGTCAAAGAAGGATCAGAAAGTGAGTCGATGCTACAGTTCATGGACGGATTGCTGAAGAAAACTTTCACTGCCACAGGACATGAAAGCCCAATTTTTGGCCCATTAGTTAGAGCGGCGGAGACTACGTCCGTTAACGGATCATGGAGTGATTCAAAATGGCCGCTGGGGCTGGAGAATGTGACAAAAACGCATCTCCGCATGCTGTAAAGACGTTTCTTCTCTTCATCCGTTGATACTCAGTTCATAGACGAGGTTTTTTCTTATGTTTCTCATTCACTGTCGGATTTACTGTACATTTTGAATGGGGGCGGTACACGGTGTGAAGGTCAGACAACGCAAATGCATTAAAAACATATTTTTTCAATAAAATAAAGGATGATTTTTGCTGGAATCTATTTCAAATGGGCATTTATTGATTATCTGTCTTGCAATTTTGATATCCACAAATTATTGGACAAACCCTGCATAAGGACTTTAAAGCCTCTCCTTTTAGACGGACTCTTAAAGAGGGCATAGCCCCACCATCTTGGGGAGAAGCCATCATCACATTCTTACCAGGAACAGATTCAGGTCCTTCTTTGGTGTTTGAAAACAACATTAATTTTGTCTTGTCAGAATTGAGGACAAGTTTTAGCTGCAGAAGGGTGTGCTGAACCATTTCAAATGCTTTCTGCAGAGATTCAACAGCTTTGGCTGGAGTCATTTCAAAACTGTAAATAATTGTGTCATCAGCATAAAAATGTAAATTAGCATCTGACACATTTTGTCCCATTTCAGTCATATACATAATGAACAGGAGGGGTCCTAACACTGAGCCCTGTGGCACCCCCTTGTGGACAGTCACAAAGTCAGAACACTGAACATCACATTTTATGCAGTCCTGTCATTCAAATCATTTGTGAACCAAGAGACTACATGATCTGACAGTCCCAAACAAAGAAGCCTGGTCCAGCGTGTCAAAAGCTTTTGACAGATCAATGAAAAGTGAAGCATAATATTGTTTTTTGTCAAGAGCAACAAGTATATCATTTATGACTTTTGTCGCTGCAGTGATGGTGCTGTGCTTTCTCCTGAAGCCTGATTGTAACTTGGAGAGAAGTTCATTTGAGTATAGAAACTCTTTTAGTTGGTAAGATACAAGAGATTCCATCATTTCTGACAGGGAACACAAATGTATCCTCAGCGTTTGACCTCAGTGTTCCGAAAGGACAAGATCATGATACAAGCCGTCCACATTGTCTGTTCCAGAGTGGAGCTCCCGTACAGATTGGGTGGGGAACTCTGTCACTCTGGAGGAGCTCGGAGTAGAGCTGTTGTTTTCCGCATGAAGAGGAGCCAGTTGAGGTGGCTCGGGTATTTGTTTGGGATGCCTCCCTGAGGTTCCTGCAGGAGACCAGAGGAAGGAACAGAGGAAATGTGTGTCTGCTTAGTCTGCTGCCCACATGGCAACAGATGAACTGAAAGAAAATGGATGGATGACTACTCACCCTTTTATCCATGGTGCAAGTCCTTACAGCACAATGATCCTTCTGCTTAATTACACAAGGAAACAAAACTGCCCTTGCGACTAAATATTCCAGTTTAGCGGGAGCCTGGCGGGCCACACCCTCAGCGGTGCCAAGGGCTTTAGAATGATCAAACTCTCTAAAACAGCCATAACCTCAAAAGACTTGTAATTTTTCAAATGACATCTTCCATGTTTTGCGGGCGCAGTTAATGAAACACGAATATTGTTTTAGGACGAGAAGCTTTGGACTCTGGCTCTTGTGTTCTCTGTGCGTCTGTAACTTTCTCAGTCTGGAGCTGGTTTTACAAACCATAGCATTTATTGTTTGTTTTTTAAATCTGGTCTTGTGTCAAATCAAGACAATATTTTCATAAATGTTAGAACTGTTCTAGATCCTGTGTCCAGTGTGTGCTGGTCCCTTTGCAGTGATATGTTTTAAAAAAGTTAAAATCCAAGAGCTTTTACTCACCCGCTTCTCTTCTGCTGACATCAGGAACTGAAACAAATATCCGAAGCATTTAAACCCCCAGAAACCTGTTTGTCTTTGTCATGTGACGACAGAACAAACCGGTCTGGGACAAGTCCCTCACTTTAACCCAGGGCAAATACATTGCACCATGTTAGATACAAATGTATTAGTCCTGGTCTCAGGTCTCTGTCCTTGGGTCCTCTCACATTAGTCCTGGCAAGACAAGTTTATTTGTATAACACAATTCATACACAAGGCAACTCAAAGTGCTGAACAAAATAAGAAAGCATTAAAAACATAAATAATCACAGAACATTAAAAAGAAAGATACAAATATAAAATCCCTCAGTTGTAGCACAGCTAAACAGAACTGTTTTTAACCTGGTTTTAAACATTGTCAGAGAGGAGGCCTGTCTCACATCTTCAGGAAGACTGTTCCAGATTTTAGCAGCATGAATCTGAAAAGCAGCCTCCCCATGTTTAGTTCTGACTCTGGGCACTAACAGGAGTCCAGTCCCTGTGCTCCTCAGAGTCCAGTCCCTGTGCTCCTCAGAGTCCCAGCAGGAGGCCAGTCCCTGTGCTCCTCAGAGTCCCAGCAGGAGTCCAGTCCCTGTGCTCCTCAGAGTCCCAGCAGGAGGCCAGTCCCTGTGCTCCTCAGAGTCCCAGCAGGAGTCCAGTCCCTGTGCTCCTCAGAGTCCCAGCAGGAGTCCAGTCCCTGTGCTCCCCAGAGTCCGGGCTGGTTCATATGGGACTAACATGTCACTAATATATTTTGGTGCCAGGCCATGGAGAGACTTGTAACAAGCAGAGCTGTTTTAAAGTCTATTCTCTGAGCCACAGGAAGCCAGTGCAGAGACCTGAGAACTGGACTAATGTGGTCGTACTTCCTGGTTCTTGTCAGGACTCGAGCTGCTGCATTTTGAATGTACTGCAGCTGTTTTACAGCCTGTTTGGACAGACCTGTGAGCAGGCCATTGCAGTAGTCTAACCTACTGGAGACAAATGCATGGATAAGAATCTCCAGGTCTGCTTTAGACACTATGTTTTTGATCCTGGCAATGTTTTTTAGATGGTAAAAAGCTGCTGATGTTACTGATTTGATGTGGCTATTAAAATTTAAGTCTGAGTCCAGTATTACCCCTAGATTTCTGACCTTGTTTGAAGGTTTTAGGGAGAGAGACTGTAGATGACAGATGACGCTCTCTCTTTGTTTCTGGACCAAAGACAATCATTTCAGTTTTGTCTGCGTTTAGCTGAAGGAAGTTGTTTTGCATCCACTCACTGATCTGTTGGATACAGTGAAGGAGTGAGTCCACTGGTCCATGTTCTCCTGCAGTCAGTGAGACATAGATCTGAGTGTCGTCTGCATAGTTATGATAGGACACTTTGTTTCTGCGTATTAACTGACCTAACGGCAGCATGTAGAGATTGAACAGAAGAGGTCCCAGGATCGACCCCTGTGGGACTCCACAGGTCAGGGCCATATGATCTGAGACACAGTTTCCAATCTCCACAAAGTACTTCCTGTCTTCAAGGTAAGACCTAAACCAACTTAGGGCGGAGCCAGCGACGCCAACCCAGTCCTCTAGTCTCTGTAAGAGGATCTCATGGTCGACAGTGTCAAAGGCAGCACTTAGATCTAACAAGATTAAGATTGAGACTTTGCCTGCGTCAGTGTTCAGCCGGATATCGTTTGTAACCTTAACGAGAGCAGTCTCAGTGCTGTGGTGGTCTCACGTTAGTCCTGGTCTCAGGTCTCTGTCCTGAAGTCCTCTCACATTAGTCCCGGTCTCAGGTCTGTCCTGAAGTCCTCTCACATTAGTCCTGGTCTCAGGTCTCTGTCCTGAAGTCCTCTCACATTAGTCCTGGTCCCAGGTCTCTGTCCTGAAGTCCTCTCACATTAGTCCTGGTCTCAGGTCTCTGTCCTGAAGTCCTCTCATATTAATCTATGTATGTCCTGTAAGTTACGAGTGTGTTTGAAGAGAAAGAATGAAGCGAGGCGAGTCACATAAATCCGTCCAGCAGAGGGTAGAGCAGGACCAGAGGGTAGAGCAGGACCAGAGGGTAGAGCAGGACCAGAGGGTAGGGCAGGACCAGAGGGTAGAGCAGGACCAGAGGGCAGAGCAGGACCAGAGGGTAGAGCAGGACCAGAGGGTAGAGCAGGACCAGAGGGTAGAGCAGGACCAGAGGGTAGAGCAGGACCAGAGGGTAGAGCAGGACCAGAGGGTAGAGCAGGACCAGAGGGTAGAGCAGGACCAGAGGGCAGAGCAGGACCAGAGGGTAGAGCAGGACCAGAGGGTAGAGCAGGACCAGAGGGTAGAGCAGGACCAGAGGGTAGAGCAGGACCAGAGGGTAGAGCAGGACCAGAGGGTAGAGCAGGACCAGAGGGTAGAGCAGGACCAGAGGGTAGAGCAGGACCAGAGGGTAGAGCAGGACCAGAGGGCAGAGCAGGACCAGAGGGCAGAGCAGGACCAGAGGGTAGAGCAGGACCAGAGGGTAGAGCAGGACCAGAGGGTAGAGCAGGACCACAGGGTAGAGCAGGACCAGAGGGTAGAGCAGGACCAGAGGGTAGAGCAGGACCAGAGGGTAGAGCAGGACCAGAGGGTAGAGCAGGACCAGAGGGTAGAGCAGGACCAGATGTGAGCGAATGGTTGGAATGTCTCCATCCATCCACTTTCTTCCACTTAATCCGTTGCCAGGTGGCAGGGGCAGGAGTCAGAGCCCAGACGTGCCTTTCCACAAACACTCCTCCAGCTCTGGTGAAATATTGTGCTACGGGTTTGACATACATTTCTTTTTCTTTTATTTATTTGAATTTAGGACAGTACATATCAATCAATGTGTCTGCAAACAGGTTTATTGAATGGATTGTCCTGAGGCAGGCAGTAATCTCTGTGGCTGTGTCCAAAACGCTAGGCATCGGGCCGCGTAGGGTGGATATGTAGGCATCGAGGGAAGGCCGCGTAGCCACAGGCGAGGTAGGAGGCGAGACGTGATGTGGATTTGGACAGCAGCTGCCTTCTGCCTTCGTCACGTGACTACACAACTCAGAGCGGAGCGGAAGGACACGGCGGCCATGATGGACGGTAAAAAGTTCTAAATACGCTTTAATTAGGACATAAAAGTTAATTCTAATATCATTTGAGGCGAGAAATATCCCCCTTTATTGTCATATCAGAAGTCTGTTTGGAGATAAAAATCGAAAATTTTCGGACTTTACCTCCAGCCTGAAGCTCCGGTGCTATAAGCTAACAGCCCAGTTAGCTGCAGTGCTGAAGCCCAGAACAGGCTGTCTAAACACGGGTTCAGGTAATGAGAGCCCCCTGGATGTTTACAATCGTATTCTGAAAAAACAGAGGATGCTTTTGTTGTTACACTTTCTCTGTTATAACAATTGTATTGGCAGTAATCATTAGTTTTTACAAAGTTATATTTTATGTAAACAATGCACATATATGCAATAAATGATTATTAGATAAGGATTACATATTTGCTATGGCCCTCGTTTGTGCATCACTTAAAAGTAATTTTATCAGACCTAAATGTATTAACGTGTGTTTGCTGATGAGAGAGAAACATCCATTTATCTATAATAATAACTGACACATCCATTTATCTATAATAATTACTGGAACATCCATTTATCTTTAATAATAACTGGAACATCCATTTATCTATAATAATAACTGGAACATCCATTTATCTATAATAATAACTGGAACATCCATTTATCTATAATAATAATAACTGGAACATCCATTTATCTATAATAATAACTGACAGAAAGGAAAATATTATATACAAGTTTGTTGTAGTTCATAATGTTTTCAGCAGTGAAGCAGGAGGTGATGGAGGTGAAGCAGGAGGTGATGGAGGTGAAGCAGGAGGTGATGGAGGTGAAGCAGGAGGTGATGGAGGTGAAGCAGGAGGTGATGGAGGTGAAGCAGGAGGTGATGGAGATGAAGCAGGAGGTGATGGAGGTGAAGCAGGAGGTGATGGAGGTGATGGAGGTGAAGGAGGTGAAGCAGGAGGTGATGGAGGTGATGGAGGTGAAGCAGGAGGTGATGGAGGTGAAGCAGGAGGTGATGGAGGTGAAGCAGGAGGTGATGGAGGTGATGGAGGTGAAGGAGGTGGTGATGGAGGTGATGGAGGTGAAGCAGGAGGTGATGGCGGTGAAGCAGGAGGTGATGGAGGTGAAGCAGGAGGTGATGGAGGTGATGGAGGTGAAGGAGGTGAAGCAGGAGGTGATGGAGGTGATGGAGGTGAAGCAGGAGGTGATGGAGGTGAAGCAGGAGGTGATGGAGGTGAAGCAGGAGGTGATGGAGGTGAAGCAGGAGGTGATGGAGGTGAAGCAGGAGGTGAAGGAGGTGAAGCAGGAGGTGATGGAGGTGAAGCAGGAGGTGATGGAGGTGAAGCAGGAGGTGATGGAGGTGAAGCAGGACGTGAAGCTGGAGAAATTATGACCTTAATTTCACCACAAGTCTCTGAAAAAGAAGAACACAAACATCATGCATTAAAACACAGCCCACATTTAGGATTCTTTTTACACTTCATATTCAATTAATACTATTTATTTGGGGCTTTGCAAAAAACTGGTTAAAAATAAAATACAGAAATCCTTACAGTATTTAATATTAGAGGTACAAGCTTCACAGCAGGGGAAACAGAAGAATGATATGATAGAAATATACACAAATAATCAAGTTAGAAGCATGGCTAACCACTTTAAACCTGTGTTTGTGGAAGTGGGACTTTGTCCTCTGCAAATGTCTTATTAATGACAAACGAAACCTCTGTATAATGTGTGTTTACTATTTATTAGACTATTGTATGAAAAGGGCTTTATAATTATTCTTGGCCTATTCTATAATTTCATATGTCTAATATATACAGTTTTCCCAGTCTCAGTATGGGATTAAAAACGATATGCACAATCTATTTTATATGAATACAGAAAACATGTGTTAGCATACTATAGCTGCTGTGCTGAGAGTGATTTTCCATGAAAACGTGACTATTTCCTCAGTGTAGCTTTAATATTTAATCAGTGGGTTTGTTTCTCCCTAAAAGATAAAACACAACATGATTTTTCTTGTTCAAAAACCGAATCTGAATGAACTAGCCTCGTAGCATTAGCTTCTCGGGACTGAGCTTATTTACAGCAGATAACAAGGTTAAATACACACATCTGTGGCAGATCTAATTTATGTCTGTGTTTTATCATAACAGTCGTGTTCATAACTCAACAGTAAAGTATAGCAGTACTTACTATAGACATAACTTCACAGTAAAGTATAGCAGTGCTTACTATAGACATAACTTCACAGTAAAGTATAGCAGTGCTTACCATAATGTTAGCTCCAGCAGCTCCGAGCTGTTGTTTACATGTTAATGCCGAACGGAGTTCTGCGCATGCGCGGCCGTGACTTGGCAAAAAGAAGGCAACGAAGCATACATCAGATGCATCCTTCATATCTGCTCCAAAAGTGGCCGTTTCCATAGAGACGAAGTCATGATGCCTACGCTTGGCGAGCTCGCCAAGTGGTTTTGGACACCCCTGCAAAAGCCGTCGCGTGAGGAAGTGACGTCACGATGCCTACATATCCACCCTACGCGGCCCGATGCCTAGCGTTTTGGACACAGCCTGTGATTGTGCTTTATCAGTGGTGAGTTCAGGTGGTTAGAAACAAAGTGAGGGTTTTACAGCCTTAAAATACTGAGAGGATTTATCTTATTGTAAAACACATGTTTTATGTTTAAATGGTTTTATTGTTGTTAAAGAGGACTTCTGACAATGAAAACAAAGATGTAGCATTTTGACTATTTTAGTTCATACAAATGATGATTTCATTTGATTTCACCAATCAGAAAGTCTGTGATCCGGGCGCCAGAACTAAAAAAGGTCTCGTTATGATTCTCAAATCATTCGCGACAAAACAAGGAATAAAACCAGGATTTCTATCTTTGTGAAAACAGAGAAAATAATAGATTTTTTGTTAACTAAACTGTTTACTGCTGTTGTTGCCATGGACAACAACAGCAGTAAGTGTTTTAGGTATCGGTCCATCCTCCGTGGTCAGCTGGTCTTTCTTTGCCCCACAGATTTAGAAGTTTGCTTCCACCCACATATATATCAAAGTTCTTTCGACTCGTGCTTTGTTTTGGCTCTCTTACATAATTGAGAAACAGCTCTCGGGCCAGAGTTAAGACTTTCCGTGAGTTGGAGCCGTTTGGGCGTGAGTCGGAGCTGGACATTAGTTTTGCTGTGACAGATGGAGCGATGCAGATGTGTTTTCATGGTTTAAATCTGGTCGGCCGCGATGAGACTTCAAAGAGAGCCTCTAATCTGTCGCTGTCTCCACTGAAGCTGCAGCCAGTTCAAGGAAAAGTGCGGAAAGTGAAAATAACATGGTGGACGGACGTGAGGCCATTTGCATTTTTATAAAGATAAACTCAGATTAACCTGAAACATCAATGGCTTTGTTTGTTCCATCCTGTGTTCCTTTGATAAACATGTTCAAATGTGGCCTCAAACCAGGTGCTGGTAATGCCTTTTTAAATTATGGTTTTGACAGCGTTTTAGAAACATGAATGCGCTGATACTTATGGAACAATGGAGACTTTCATGAAACTTGTTTTTTATGTAACTGTTTAGGAAAAAAACAGGTTTGAGCACTTCACTTGAATGAATGCAGTGAAACAAGTCCTAAGTGTCTGAAGCAGTTGTTGTTTTGTTTTTTCATTTTTTCTATTTTTCTTGTTTTTTTCTGCCTGAGATGTTGCTGCAGTTTAGTGTTCATGGTTTTACACTGGTCCAGACCAGAGCAGAGAGGATTCATGGTTTTACACTGGTCCAGACCAGAGCAGAGAGGATTCATGGTTTTACACTGGTCCAGACCAGAGCAGAGAGGATTCATGGTTTTACACTGGTCCAGACCAGAGCAGAGAGGATTCATGGTTTTACACTGGTCCAGACCAGAGCAGAGAGGATTCATGGTTTTACACTGGTCCAGACCAGAGCAGAGAGGATTCATGGTCCGCACCAAGTGGATCAGGAGAAAATCCACAGGAGGAATGCTAAATGCTTTTACTTTGGAGCAGAGCAGAGAACATGGTCTGAACCAAGCGGCTCCACCTCTGCTGCTGTGACCTGAAGGACTGTTGCATTTCCTTATTATGATTGTTAGCTTTTGAGAATGATCTGTTTTATTTTTTATTTTTTCTGCCATTGGACACCTTGATTTCTCCTACAGGGATCAAGTATCTTTCTAATTTATGAACCATAAAACAAGCCTGCTGTTTCGTGTCAGTCGGGATTAAAGGGACTATGATGATCCAGGACACTCGACGTTTATGGACCAATGGATCTTTGAGTTTGTTTTTTTCATTGCATTTATTGTGTTTGAACAGTTTGATTTTCTGATCTGAGCTGCTTGGTATGGAGGTTCTTTATGAATCCAGACTCTTAAACCAAGCTCTTAGAATAATCAAGGACTCTTCTGGCCACTCTGGAAAACACAAAATGCAATAATAGATAATAAATACTAATCAAAACCTGATCTACAAAGGTGTGTCTCGGGTCTGCTTTTAAAACTATGAATGTTCTGTTATCAAACTATTGTTACGGTAAATTGAAGGATCGTGTCACCTCCTATAACTCTTGGCGCCGGTCCCTCTTTTAACGGTAACCACTCTCACTTCTCAGCTAGAAGGTCCTGGGTTCGAATCCATGTCTGCGATGGTTTCCTCTGGGTGCTCCGGTTTTCCCTACCGCTAAAAACATGCACAATAGGCCTGAATGTAACGAGTGATTGAATGGATGATGTTGGTTGGATGGACTTTGATGTGGAGGGAATGGAACAATATCTTGATTCAATCTGGAGAGACTCATGAGACAAAATGTAATTTGAAGCATTTCAATAAACAATGTTTGGCACCTTAGGCCCCGGTGCGACGCTGTTAAGCGCGGCTCCTGTTTGTGTGCACATGAGACCCCCGGAACCTAGGTACTGGTGGTGGCACTGGGGCAGCAGGAAAAGTGCACGCTCAAAGAAGGGTAAGAAGGAGGAGGAGGGGAGGCGGTGGTTGTGAGGCTTGAGAAGGCCGAGAAGTGGGAGTCTCCGCCTTTTAAGTTACTGACCTGGCGGGCATTGGTTGGCGGGAGATGGGCGTTTGCTGTGCCATAGGCCGAGGATGTGAGGCAGGCCTGGAGGGGACGGGCTGCAGCAGTTCAGTCTTCCAGAATTGAATTTCCGCGGGTTGCATTTCTGAACTTTGTAAAGCTTTGGGCGACCAAGGTCTTTAAAAATGTGCTTTATCAATAATTAATTACTTACATACTTTTTTCAAACAGCTTGTTCTTCATACACAAACAAGGGACTCCCGGAGGTGATCTAAATCTCTCAGCGATCATAAACGCTGATGATTATGATCCCGTGTGGACTATTTTTTACACACACACACACACACACAGGATTTAGCCCAGTTCTTTTGGAAGGAGCTGCGTCGAAAGCAGATTCTAATCCCAAGAAAATGCCTTGTTCCCCCATCGCTGTGTTTGCCCTGAGAGTCAGCCTGGGAAAGACAGCAAAACAGTTGGATTTTGATTAATTGTAATGATGCAGGATTTCAGAAAACACAGGGAGGCTACACAAATATTAGGGAATGCTCGCTGGGTTTTTATTTAGCATTTTTGTCGGAGCTGGATTTTCAGTTCGAGCTATTTCTAACTCAGGGACTTCAACTAACAACTGTTGAATGAGTCCGTAAGGTCGTATCTCATTTCACGGCCAAACCTAGAACCAATTAATAAGTGTAACACACAGTATGTGGTCTGTTTAACACATACTGTCAGAAAAAAATATTGCCAAATATGTAAGTGAACTGAGTTGTATTGTGTGTGGTGTCATTAGTATAGAGTAGTAAGTATATAAAACATAATTATCTAAGGAAGTACAGTGGAGAACAACGCTTTTAGGGCTCGGGCGTAACGACTGCGAGGTGAGACGAGGCGGCAGGAAGTGTGAATGAAAACACAATCACAGTTCTATTCAAGTGTTATGTGCAGATATGGAATAGTTTAGTGTTATCATATATTTTAACAATAATAATAACAGTAGGGCGGGGCGGCACAGCGGCTGAGTGGTTAGCACTCTCGCTTCTCAGCTAGAAGGTCCTGGGATCGAATGCCGGTCGGAGCAGGGCCTTTCTGAGTGGAGTTTGCATGTTCTCCCCGTGTCTGTGTAGGTTTCCTCCGGGTGCTCGGGTTTCCCCTACCACTTAAAACATGTACAATAGGTCTGGCATGCACCTCCTGTATGACGACCCCACTCCCATCTCTGTGTGGAGTGAGAGACAAATGCCCACAATTGTAAACCGCTTTGACTCTGGTCTGTGAAAGGCAAAAAATACTTACTTACTTAGCAGTATAGTTACAATACAATTTATTCTTGTATAGCCCTAAACCACAACAGAAGTCATCTCAGAGAATTACAAAATCATTGAAATCACCAACACAGATCAGAGAATCAACAGTTAAAACACAAAGAATATAGAACACATGTTGATAAATGTCATACATGTAGAATGTTAAAGTGTCCTGGATCATCACAGTCCTTCTAGTTGGACACTAACTGTCCAACAGACCCTCCTGCATCAGAGGAAAGACTCATAAGAAAACCCAGTGGGAAAAAGTGAGAAACCTCTGGGAGACCCACATATTGAGAAAGGGATCCGCTCCTCCGGACGGACAGGCTAATGATCCAGGACCTAAGCTACAGGACGTGGACCAGTGGCCGCTGAACGTGGACAGGTCCGGTGCAGGACTGAAGCACTCCCAGGCGGGGCAGTCCGCAGGTGTAGATGGAGGAGGCCAGGTCCAGAGGTCCCGTTGTCGCACCATGGAACAGACAATGGGACAACGGGTGAATAGCAAATAATAGCAAGCAAGAAATCCGGTAATGTAGTAACTTCAGGGTAGTGCAGGCGTATAACGTAAAAACAATTAGGTCTGACAGGGTCTTAGGCCTCGTTCACACTCGTTCACTCTAACCCTTTAATTGTTCAACCATTTGGTGGATCACTCTGAGTCAGGATATCAACTTGGAGCTTGGAACTGAAATCTACCTCATTGGGACACGTCTATATCACTATCTATGCTAATCTCTTATCCATCGTTTTTGGTAGAGTCCTATAAATGAAAAACACTTAAACCAATTATGTGTGTTATTACTGCTCCTACGAAAAAAGAAAAAAAAACTTCAAGGCGTGAACATGAAAAACTTAACTGGACCAAGTCTGGATGGTCTGGTTTGACTCATTGTCACGCGGTGGGATGATGGAGGACTCAAATGCAGGAATGCAAAAAATAAGGATTTAATAAAATAAAAGTCCAGGTGAAAACTAAACTCAAAATCCAAGAATACAGAACCAGGACCAGAGGCAGAACTTGACACGACGAAAACAGGACATTGACAAAACAATGGACCAGCAACATGTGGAGAGGGGCACAGGGTAATTATAGACAGGGGCACAGGTGAAACACATCGGGGCGGGGCAGACAATCAGGACAGGGGAAACAGCACAGAAGTCAAAACCAAACCACAGAGAAACAAAGTCAAAATAAAACAAAAATACAAAAATAAAAGCCACACCATGACACTCATGGACACAGGCTGACTTGTTTGGTAGTTTTCCACCCACACATGGCATATTCCCCCAAGTGAAGCAACGGTATACTAGTTGGGATATGTTAGTGTTAATTAATATGTTGTTTTTCTGCTGTGGATTGGCTAAAAACCGCTAACAATTTTCTCAATGTCTTTGCGCACTCTTCACCCCCAAGGCAACTTTGACAGAGCAAAGTGAGGTAAGCAGCTCTTAACCTGCCCGGTGCTTGTGGACTCCAGCAATGGTTTATTAATGTCAGCGGCCACATAAGCTCATGATGTATCAGTGTAACGGCGGCGTTTTCTCCAGACGCACTGTGCTAGAAGGGTTATTTGAGTATCGATCCCAGGGTCCATTTCGCGGGCTTGATGTCTGTTTCCCTGATGGTTGGTGAATGACAGCTCTCTAAATCATTTGGGCCAGAAGGGCTAATTACTGAAATGCCTTTAACGATACAGGGAGATTACAAATGGTCTAAGGGTCAAGTTTTAGCAGGACAATCTTTCAAAATAAATGTGTTTCATTAAAAGGACAGTGATGGTGCTCTGCTGAGAAGGTATCCATGCTGTTAATGTACTTCCAGGGTACTTATACTCTAACTTTGAGCGAGATCTAGGACAAAAGCCCTGTTTCCACTTATCCTACTCTATTCAATTCAATTACATTTATTCTTGTATAGCAGAAGTTATCACAGATGACTTAACAAAACCGCTGAAATCCCGAACAACTGTTAAGAGAATCAAACCATTCAAGTAAGTAATATTTATTCAATTGTGGGCATTTGTCTCACTCCACAGATGGGAGCAAGGTCGCCGTACCGGAGGCGAATGCTAGAACTATTGGATATGTTTCATATGGGAAACCGGAGCACCAGGAGGAAACCCACACAGACACAAGAAAGACCCTGTTACGACCAGGATTCAAACCCATGCAAGAGTGCTATCCATGACAAATAAGCAGATCTAGAAAGTAATGTTATGTATGTAGCACATTTTACCAAGGTCACTTAAAGCGCAATGGTCAGAGTTTAGATATGTTTCCATTCGCTACACACATAATATTTAAAACATCTATGCAAAGTATTTAGTTTAATTTTGTGGTTGTAAACATGAGAATATCAGCAGTGCATTTGCAAGCCTCTGTCTATACTGTGAGAGCCAGGTGTCGTGTGGCCATTTTTAAACATTAGCCCGGCTGTCTGGGGTGGTCTTTAACTGTGCGAGCTGCTTCTGTGGACCAACATAGAAAAGACATTTGGTCAATTAATCATAGCCAAGCAGAACTGAGGGATTATGCACTTGACTGAATCTCATTTCAAGCCTGTGGTTTGGCCAGCGTGCTTCTAAGGACTCAGACAAACGTTCCAAGAGTTTGCATAAAGCTCACACGATGGTTCTAAACGGGTGGCGTGGAACGATTTATCGAAATGAATCAAAACTCCAATTTCGCCAAAGGTTAGAAAAACGCAAAGGCTACTATTGTTAAGTCAATCAAATAACTTAACAGACATACAGCTGTGCATAAAGAACACTTCAATTGCATTTTCCAAATGTTCTAAGGTCCACGCCTTGAGAAATACACAGAGATATGAATCCATCCAACGGCTTGTCTAAGGCAGATCAACCAAGGAGTCTGAAGGAGTCCCCCCAAAAAACTACTGATCTCCTTGAGACAAAAACGTATTCTTTTTAGGCACATTTTGAGTTACTTTCTCTTTGACAAATTCATAAAAGAGATGAAGTGATCTGATTTGTCCCATGCTGCTACATGTACTGAAATTGTGTAGAATTGCCCCATTATTACTTGCTATTATTGTCATGCTAGCCTCTTGTTGTGAAAATAACCACATCACGTTGAATGAGTAATAATGTGGGGACGGAGTGAGACATGAGCTCGGACTGTAACAAGTGTAAGATACAGGACCAAAGACAAGACAAAAACAATATATACAAGAACAAAAGACTTCAGACATTGTGTCAAATACAAATAAACAAAATAAAAGAGGTCTTGTCATGGTTTAGGTTTATTTCTTGTTATATTTTGTGATTAGTTCAAATCCCTGTTGGTTTAGTTGAACTTCCTGTTGTCTGATTACCTGCCCCGCCCTCATGTTGATCACCTGTGTCTCGTTAATCTTGTATTTAATTAAGTAATGTTAATGTATTCAGATATTGTTCCAATCCTTCCACACACGGTGATGACAGAAGCGAGTCCAGAACACACTGGACCATCAAAGCCTCTGACCCAACACCATCCATTCACTCTCTCATTTACATTCAGACCTATTGTGCATGTTTTTAGTGGTAGGGGAAACCGGAGCACCCGGAGGAAACCTACGCAGACACGGGGAAAACATGCAAACTCCACTCAGAAAGACCCTGTTCCGACTGGGATTGGAACCCAGGACATTCTTGCTGAGAAGAGAGACTCACAAGCCTCTGCGACAGAAGGTTCCGTCTCAGAGGCAAAATGAAAATAACCCAAAACGCAGAACTGCAAATATACTGGATTGAATCAAATAAAATACAAATGAAAAACCAGTGAAAAAACAAAAGGTAACCAAAGACGGACTAAAGACAAGAACTAAAACAGACAAGGAATGACAAGGGAGTGAAGGTTTAAATACAAGACTAACCAGACACATGAGGGGGCGGGGCATGTAACCAGGCAACAGGACGTACGACCGAGGAAGACACACACATTACATAATCAAACAGGAAACACACCAAAACCATGACACTTCTCAAATCAAAGAAAATCAGAATGTCTTATATAATAATAAGGCGTCACGAGTTCTGCCGCATTTCCTTTTCTGATTTCACTGGACGTACTTTTAATTTGCGACGGTGCTCAACGTAATTAAGAGAGCTTGGTTGTTTGTTATCCCACTTCTACCAGTGTTGTCCCAGTAGTAATGGGTTGGAGCGGCTATCTGGGGCAAGCAATCGAAATGGACAAATCGATTCGGGAAACCTTAATTGAACAGTTGGTTTTCACGCATTTCGAACAATAGCCATGATTTTCTCACCGCCCACTTGTGTAGCGAGTCCGTTTCATGGTCTCTTCAAATCGATCCACTTCTGAGATCAATTACAATCAGTCGTTCTCAAGGTTTGGTCATTGCAATATTGACGAAATCACTCTTCTACTGTGTGTAAGGCAAGGCAAGTTTATTTGTATAGCACAATTCATACACAAGGCAACTCAAAGTGCTGAACAAAACAAGATAGCATTAAAATCATAAATAATCACAGAATATTAAAGAGAAAGATAAAAATATAAAATCCCTCAGTTGTAGCACAGCTAAACAGAACTGTCTTTAACCTGGTTTTAAACATTGTCAGAGAGGAGGCCTGTCTCACATCTTCAGGAAGACTGTTCCAGATTTTAGCAGCATGAATCTGAAAAGCAGCCTCCCCATGTTTAGTTCTGACTCTGGGCACTAACAGGAGTCCATTCAGAAGGGCCTCGGGACAGGTGAGGATGCAGAACATTCATGGACATTGGTTATCTTGTTGACTCTAAGGTGATGTGTTGTGGTTTGTCTGAAGGACAGTGGTGAGGATCCAAACACTCACAACATGCATGGACTTTATCAACATTTTAATCAATCAATCAATTTTTTTTTATAAAGCGCTTTTCATACAAGAGATGCAACACAAAGTGTTTTACAGTTTGGTTAAAAACAATCCTGCCCATGACCCCGACCACCCAACAGACCCACCCCAAACCACAGACAAACACACACAGACGAGCACACTCACACACACTCACACACACACACACCAATAAATCAGTAAAACCATGAAGAGAGACTTGGCAGGGTTCAGATGCAACCAGCTGAAAAAGCGTCATCCAAGGAGCAGTCTGCACCAGGAGCAGAGAGCCGCCTGTAGCCACAGGGACGACACAGGACCCAGAGGAGACACAGGACCCAGAGGAGACACAGGACCCAGAGGAGACACAGGACCCAGAGGAGACACAGGACGCAGAGGGGACACAGGACCCAGAGGAGACACAGGACCCAGAGGGGACACAGGACCCAGAGGGGACACAGGACCCAGAGGAGACACAGGACCCAGAGGAGACACAGGACCCAGAGGAGACACAGGACCCAGAGGAGACACAGGACCCAGAGGAGACACAGGACCCAGAGGAGACACAGGACCCAGAAGAGACACAGGACCCAGAGGAGACACAGGACCCAGAGGAGACACAGGACCCAGAGGAGACACAGGACCCAGAAGAGACACAGGACCCAGAGGGGACACAGGACCCAGAGGAGACACAGGACCCAGAGGAGACACAGGACCCAGAGGAGACACAGGACCCAGAGGAGACACAGGACCCAGAGGAGACACAGGACCCAGAGGAGACACAAAGCCACTCCTCTAATTTAATGGACTATCAACATTTATGGTCAGTTTTGTAAAGTCTTACTAGAAAACTTCTGATGTGATTTAGGAAATTACAACAATGAATAGAATTTAATATTATTTCAATTTGTCTGATTCTTAGTTCTGTGACGCTCCTGTTGACTGTTGTAGTGATTTCGGACAGATCTAATGAAACATAAGTGGAGAATTTCTACTTTTTAGACCTGTTTGACTCACAAAAGTACATTTGTTTGACCAACACAAAGTGCGGCGCTGGTTTGTTGTTTAAACATATCCTGTCAATAACAAGCAAATAAAAGGTGTGATAAATCAGAGCGGCTGCCGACTGACCATTAGCACGACCACCCACCGCGGCGAGAACCGCTCGGAACAGCAAAGAAAGTAACGACTGCGGCCTCTTAATGTTGACCTTCACTGTTTACAGCCACAGGCACCGGAGGAAGCAGAGTCACGCTGACCACGCAACCTCGGCGCCTGGCCTTGTCTCCGTGGCGATGCTAGCTAATGACGGACATATTCATGCAAGCTAATGGACAGTCAAGGTGTATGTTGAAAATGAGTGAGTAGGCAAATACTTTGGTCGACATTGACGGATCTTGTACTTGTGTGTTCAAACTGTTTGATTCTCTCATCTGTTGTCGAGGAATCGGACTCTGAGACGACTGCTGTTGTGATTTAAGGCTTTTGTCTGTGAATAAAAAAGCCATGTGCCCGTTAATAACGTTTGAAATAATATAGCCATGTCATGAACAGAAAGCCAGTCTTACACAAGTAAAAGTCTTTCTCCCAGAACTTGGCCGTGCAAAAATATAACAAAAAGGTTGTCGAAGCAAGTGACACACTATAGAACGGAGCACACTGTGTCCTTGACTCCTGTGGTCAGAGACTCAAATGCATCCCACCGCTCAGTTTTATAACTTATAAATGTAGCAGTGATTAAACTGGAGAAAGGAGACAGCCTGAGGAGAACCGGAAGCACACTGCACAATTGGACTAAAGGTCTATGTGAGGCCTTTTGTTGTTATGGGGCCTGTTGCTTTCCCAACTTTGAATTGAAAATGGAACCATGAAAACTTGAGCATTTCCGTTCAGGTCATGTGGCGAAAAGTGCAAGAGAAAGCCACGCAAGCACAGCAGCATCCAGCTGGACTCTGCCAGCCCTCAGAACCATCCAGCTGGACTCTGCCAGCCCTCAGAACCATCCAGCTGGACTCTGCCAGCCCTCAGAACCATCCAGCTGGACTCTGCCAGCCCTCAGAACCATCCAGCTGGACTCTGCCAGCCCTCAGAACCATCCAGCTGGACTCTGCCAGCCCTCAGAACCATCCAGCTGGACTCTGCCAGCCCTCAGAACCATCCAGCTGGACTCTGCCAGCCCTCAGAACCATCCAGCTGGACTCTGCCAGCCCTCAGAACCCTCTTTCATTTTCCAGGGCGGGACAGGTGGAGAAATGCTACTTTTTAGACCTGTTTCTGCATGATTGTTTATTTATTTATTTATTTAATTTTCAACACTTTTGCATTTGTGGCTTTTAGGACACATATGCACACATTTAAAATGTATAAAAGTAATTAAATATACAGTTCATTAATCATGTGAACAACGCTGCTCCAATTTCAGCCACAGTTTCAGACGTCTGACGAAGATGTTTAAGTCTGTTTGTAGTTGTAGGTCAGTGGGAAGAGCGTTCCACAGTTTGGCTCCATCGAAGGAAGAGCTGGACTGTCCCAACGATGTTCTGGACTGAGGAACCAGACAGTCCCCACCGACCGAGGCTCTGGACTGAGGAACCAGACAGTCCCCACCGACCGAGGCTCTGGACTGAGGAACCAGACAGTCCCCACTGACCGAGGCTCTGGACTGAGGAACCAGACAGTCCCCACCGACCGAGGCTCTGGACTGAGGAACCAGACAGTCCCCACTGACCGAGGCTCTGGACTGAGGAACTAGATAGTCCCCACTGACCGAGGCTCTGGACTGAGGAACCAGACAGTCCCCACAGACCGAGGCTCTGGACTGAGGAACTAGATAGTCCCCACTGACCGAGGCTCTGGACTGAGGAACCAGACAGTCCCCACTGACCGAGGCTCTGGTGTTAGGAACCAGACAGTCCCCACTGACCGAGGCTCTGGACTGAGGAACCAGACAGTCTCCACTGACCGAGGCTCTAGACTGAGGAACCAGACAGTCCCCACTGACCGAGGCTCTAGACTGAGGAACCAGGCAGTCCCCACTGACCAAGGCTCCGGTGTTAGGAACCAGACAGTCCCCACTGACCGAGGCTCCGGTGTTAGGAACCAGACAGTCTCCACTGACCGAGGCTCCGGTGTTAGGAACCAGACAGTCCCCACTGACCGAGGCTCCGGTGTTAGGAACCAGACAGTCCCCACTGACCGAGGCTCCGGTGTTAGGAACCAGACAGTCCCCACTGACCGAGGCGCCGGTGTTAGGAACTAGACAGTCCCCACTGACCGAGGCTCTGGACTGAGGAACCAGACAGTCCCCACTGACCGAGGCTCTGGACTGAGGAACCAGACAGTCCCCACTGACCGAGGCTCTGGACTGAGGAACCAGACAGTCTCCACTGACCGAGGCTCTGGACTGAGGAACCAGACACTCCCCACTGACCGAGGCTCTGGACTTAGGAACCAGACAGTCCCCACTGACCGAGGCTCTAGACTGAGGAACCAGACAGTCCCCACTGACCGAGGCTCTGGACTGAGGAACCAGACAGTCTCCACTGACGAGGCTCTGGTGTTAGGAACCAGACAGTCCCCACTGACCGAGGCTCTGGACTGAGGAACCAGACAGTCTCCACTGACCGAGGCTCTGGACTGAGGAACCAGACAGTCTCCACTGACCGAGGCTCTAGACTGAGGAACCAGACAGTCCCCACTGACCGAGGCTCTGGACTGAGGAACCAGACAGTCTCCACTGACGAGGCTCTGGTGTTAGGAACCAGACAGTCTCCACTGACCGAGGCTCTGGACTGAGGAACCAGACAGTCTCCACTGACCGAGGCTCTAGACTGAGGAACCAGACAGTCTCCACTGACCGAGGCTCTGGTGTTAGGCCTTCGAGAGCCTTGACGTCTGACAGACCAGGCGAGGTGTTAAAATGGTGTTACAATGTTTCTTCTATAAACTTACTTCTTATGCAAGAGTCAGAGATTTTATACTTTCTTCTTTATTATGCTAAAACTAGAGATTGTATACTTGCTTTAGAGATTTATCTTCTGTTGTGTGCTAATGTTAAAACCCATTGCTTTATTATGTCTCCTTTCATTACACTGGTCAAACTTTATTAAATTCATAAATCGTCTTTAATATAAATAGTTAATGATATCTTTTTGACTCTCCTGGCCCAGTTTGCCCATGTCTGGTTTGTATATTGCCTGACATTGTCCGTGTTGAAGGTTCTCTTCCTCATCCTTCCCTCTCTTGTATTTTGTGAATACCTTTGAGACAGAAGCTTCATGTGGCGTTCATGGAATAAGGAAATATCTCACACATCATTAGACGATCATTGTGGCGTGGACAGATTCTATCCCACAAAACAAACCCCTGCAGAAGAATACCTGTGACTTTACCACGATAGGCCTTGCATTATTTCTGCACTAAGGCATTCATTTCAACCACAAACAAAGCTGAAATTCAGAATGAAGACAGGAAGAGCTAATCTCACAGCGCTCAAAGTCCTCCTGCTGTTGCTCACGGCAACAACATCAGTCCATCACACTCAGCTGCTGCGCCTCAAACCAATCCTCACCTGCAGCTTCATTCATGCTGCAACCCTCCTCCTCCCCATCGCCCCCTCGTTCTAGGCCATCTTCTTCATCCTTCTCCTCACTCCCACCATCAGGGTCTAGGCCCCGGGGGATTTACTCTCATAATCTCATACCCCTTCTGCAATTGTGCGGTGCTCTGCTGGAGTCTAAGCTTCAAATCCTAACCACATTCTGTACAGCACAATAAATATAACCTTGAAAATATTGTCCTCAGAGTCATATATGTAGTTTATGTAGTGTCAGATTTCTATCAACCAATGTACAATTCTAATAATGCACATGTTTAGTCTGTTTGAGTCTCTCCAGATGGAACTGTTGATTGGAACCGTCTTTAGGCCAGACTTGTGAAAGCCAGACCTCTGAAGCTGAGCAGGGAAGGTTCTGGTCAGTACTGTCACACACACACAGCCGCAGGTTCTGGTCAGTACTGTCACACACACACAGCCACAGGTTCTGGTCAGTACTGTCACACACACACAGCCACAGGTTCTGGTCAGTACTGTCACACACACACAGCCACAGGTTCTGGTCAGTACTGTCACACACACACAGCCGCAGGTTCTGGTCAGTACTGTCACACACACACAGCCGCAGGTTCTGGTCAGTACTGTCACACACACACAGCCACAGGTTCTGGTCAGTACTGTCACACACACACAGCCACAGGTTCTGGTCAGTACTGTCACACACACACAGCCACAGGTTCTGGTCAGTACTGTCACACACACACAGCCACAGGTTCTGGTCAGTACTGTCACACACACACAGCCACAGGTTCTGGTCAGTACTGTCACACACACACAGCCACAGGTTCTGGTCAGTACTGTCACACACACACAGCCGCAGGTTCTGGTCAGTACTGTCACACATACACAGCCACAGGTTCTGGTAAGTACTGTCACACACACACAGCCGCAGGTTCTGGTCAGTACTGTCACACACACACACAGCCGCAGGTTCTGGTCAGTACTGTCACACACACACAGCCGCAGGTTCTGGTCAGTGTCCCTGGTCTACAGTCTCCCTGGTCTACAGTCTCCCTGGTCTACAGTCTCCCTGGTCTACAGTCTCCCTGGTCTACAGTCTCCCTGGTCTACTGTCTCCCTGGTCTACTGTCTCCCTGGTCTACAGTCTCCCTGGTCTACTGTCTCCCTGGTCTACCTCCCTGGTCTACAGTCTCCCTACAGGTCTCACAGTCTCCCTGGTCTACAGTCTCCCTGGTCTACTGTCTCCCTGGTCTACAGTCTCACTGGTCTACTGTCTCCCTGGTCTACTGTCTCCCTGGTCTACTGTCTCCCCTGGTCTACTGTCTCCCTGGTCTACTGTCTCCCTGGTCTACTGTCTCCCTGGTCTACTGTCTCCCAGGTCTACAACTCCCTGGTCTACAGTCTCCCTGGTCTACAGTCTCCCTGGTCTACAGTCTCCCTGGTCTACAGTCTCCCTGGTCTACAGTCTCCCTGGTCTCCGTGGCATGTGTGGCGTCAGTGGCGGCTCGCTCGGCCCCCCCTGGCGGCTCGCTCGGCCCCCCTGGCGGCTCGCTCGGCCCCCCTGGCTCCATCCATCATCCAGGCCCCGGTCTGAGCCAGCACCGGTCTCTAGTTCACCTCCAGCTCTGGCAGCAGCCTCCACAGACACTTCTTAGGCCTCTCTGCATATTTAAAGAATAAACAACGGCTGTCCTTGAGGGAAGACAGGTGCTGCGTGGACGGAACCAGGAAATCGTTCAAGAGTTTCAGCCTCCAGTGTTTTACAAAGACAGGACAAAAAGACTTAACATACCACAGAACACATGTTATAGATCATTATGAAATCATATGGTGTACAAGTACTGAGTCTGATTAACGGCTTATTAACCGAGCGCGAGGTCTGGACAGAGAAATATCACCGCGGCCTTTTTGTACAGACCGAGCAGGCGAGGTTAATAAATGTTTTATTATATGACTATTTTTAATTTATGCAAATATCAATCTCCGACTTGGTTTTCCTAATCCTGTTTTTACCTTTCTGGTCTGTAACGAAGTTGTCAATCACTTCTTGACTGTTGGGAGTTGTGTTTTCGTCGTTATTTGCAGTTATTACTTCCTCTGGCTCTTCGAAGTCGTCGCTCATTCTTTTTGTACCGTGGAAAGATATCAAATGTGATACGCGCTGTGGACCAATTGTCATGGTAACGGTCCAGGATGGGAAAATATCAGACCGCAAATCAACCAATCAGAGCGCGCGTACGATCCAAGTCATACAGGATAATAAACTGCCTTATTACCATCTATGTTACTGATTTATTTTTCTAATTAGGGCCTTAAGGCTGTTGTAAGGCTGCATACAAAGTGCTCCCTGGCTTTATGGAGAACTGGGGACCATGGTCTCCTCTGAGGGCTTGGATCCACGGCCTCCTTTGGTCCAGGTCCGTCGGGAAAGCGTGGAAAGAAAGGTATGTTTTCTCGCTCTTCCAGCCCAACCAGGACGAGAACAGAAACAACTGCTGCGAGATTGAGCCAAACTCAAAGCTGTGTGTGTGACGGCGAAGCACAGCCACCGGAAAGGACTTCGTTCCACGTCCGGTTTGAAACGAGGACGTGTGAAAACGGTCCACAGAGAAGTGTGAGAGATTATTCTTCACTTCAACATTCCTGAGTGGCTTCTTGCTCTTTGTGTAAATGTCGAAGAACAACGATGATGTGAGAAAAGGATTTCATTTCATTTCATTTTCAACCCCTTTGTCCATTTCTGGGTCGGGGGGGTGGCAATGAGAGCTGCCCCCAACGCTCATAGCACCAGTCCCTCTGATCCTCTGCAGGGGGTGAGTCCACAGGAAGATGGCTGCTCTGTCAATTGTGAAACAGCCTTGATCTTTCAAGCTTCAGGCAATATGGGGTTAAGTGTCTTGCCCAAGGACACAACGACAGCAGTCATCAGTGCGAGCAGTTGGAGTAGGTCCCATGGTGGGAATCGAACTCACAACCTCCAGGCCCAAAGGCCAATGCTCTACCAACTGAGCTACTGTCGCACCCCTGAAAAAAGGATAAACTCTGCAAAAGTGGCTCAAATATGTTTTTTTCTTGATTTAAATACATTCTGACAAAGCCATTTAGTCTTTATCAAGAGCTGCATTATATTCTCATTCCTAGGGAGAAAACAATACATATTTGTTTGTCCCATCGGCAAATCTTTTTTAAGGCGTCACAATGTGCTTAAATTAATTCACATTTTACCAAATTTGAGCAATTTTTTACACATTTTTTGTTTACAGTTTTCCAAAAGGAGCCTTGATCTAAGCATGTTATGTGTTTTCATTGTGAGGTCTGAGGTTCAAACGCTGTAACGACCTGGATCAATGATGAAAAGGTTGGCATGTTGTTTGGATTCGTGTCAGCCGCGCAGCAGGGTGAAGACGAGAGTGAGTCAAAACAAAGTCCAGACCATGTGTTTTCTCCGTGGGTAGACAAGAGGAAAAAATCTGTTTTTGCAAAGTGAGATTGAGTCTTTTCTTTCATATTTGGAAATATTTATTTTTATAGCAGGCAAATTTGTGTAAATTTCTTTTAAAAAGTAATTCTTTCTTATTACATCTACGTTTCAATCCTTGGAACGCTGCTGCATCCCACAGGGAGAGAACTTTCATAGAATAATGTATTGATCTGGATTCTGTAGTAGTTGCTCTGAATAAAAAGCCAATATAAGACAGCAAAGATACTGCGCAGAACCCTCAAGCTCCCAGGCCTCTGGTAGAGGACCCGAGCTTAGAGAGGGATAACCGCCCACGGAGGGCCAAAGGTGAGTGGACAATTTTTATATGTGTGTATATATATATGTATATGTATATATATATATGTATATGTATACATCATATATATATATATATATATGTATATGTATATATATATATGTATATGTATATATATATATGTATATGTATATATATATATCGGGATGTCATTCGGACTCGAGAAATGTAGCAGGATGGTGACTGGTGAGGCAAGGTAGTCCACACAGAAGGGATCTCCCTCCCAGAGGGAACAATAGCAGACGTTGAGGACAGTTACAAGGATCTCGGTATACCACAGGCAAATGGCAACCTCGAACAGGTGACGAGGAAAGCGGCCACTGCCAAATACCTCCAGCGAGTAAGGCAGGTCCTAAGAAGCCAGCTCAATGGCAAGAACAAGGCCCGGGCAATTAACAGCTACGCTCTGCCAGTGATCAGATACCCTGCAGGAATAATCAGGTGGCCAAAGGAAGAGATTCAGACCACGGATGTTAAAACTCGAAAGCTCCTTACCATGCATGGCGGGTTCCATCCCAAATCCAGCACCCTGAGACTGTACGTAAGCCGTAAAGAAGGAGGCCGAGGACTAGTGAGTGTGAGAGCCACTGTCCAGGACCAAACATCCAAACTCCATAACTACATCATGGAGAAGGCCAAAACGGATGACGTACTCAGTGAATGTCTCAGGCAGTGGCGAGATGAGGAGGTGCTGGAGGAGAGCTCATAATGGCTAGAAAGGGCTGGCCTACAGGACAGCACAGAGGCACTCATCATGGCTGCACAGGAGCAGGCCCTGAGCACCAGAGCGATAGAGGCCCAGATATACCACACCAGACAAGACCCAAGGTGTCGGTTGTGCAAAGAGGCACCTGAGACGATCCAACACATAACTGCACGGTGCAAGATGCTGCAGGGAAGGCCTACATGGAACGCCATAACCAAGTGGCTGCATAGTGTACAGAAACATCTGTGCAGAGTATGGGCTGGAAACCCCAAGGTCTAAGAAACTCCTCCAAAGGTGGTGGAGAATGAGCGTGCAAAGATCCTGTGGGACTTCCAGATACAGACCGACCGAATGGTATTGAACCAACCTGACATCGTGGTGGTGGACAAAGGGCAGAGGACAGCCGTGGTGGTGGACAAAGGGCAGAGGACAGCCGTGGTGGTGGACAAAGGGCAGAGGACAGCTGTGGTGGTGGACAAAGGACAGAGGACAGCCGTGGTGGTGGACAAAGGGCAGAGGACAGCCGTGGTGGTGGACAAGGGCAAGAGGGCAGCAGACAGCCGTGGTGGTGGACAAAGGGCAGAGGACAGAGGACAGCCGTGGTGGTGGCCAAAGGGCAGAGGACAGCCGTGGTGGTGGACAAAGGGCAGAGGATAGAGGACAGCCGTGGTGGTGGCCAAAGGGCAGAGGACAGCCGTGGTGGTGGACAAAGGGCAGAGGACAGCCGTGGTGGTGGACAAAGGGCAGAGGACAGCGTGTGGTGGCAAAGGGCAGAGGACAGCCGTGGTGGTGGCCAAAGGGCAGAGGACAGCCGTGGTGGTGGACAAAGGGCAGAGGACAGCCGTGGTGGTGGACAAAGGGCAGAGGACAGCCGTGGTGGTGGACAAAGGGCAGAGGACAGCCGTGGTGGTGGACGTGGCAATTCCAAGCGATGGTAGCATCTGGAAAAAAGAACATGAAAAGCTTGAGAAATACCAAGGTCTCAGAGAGGAGCTGGAGAGGGCCTGGAGGGTAAAGGTCACAGTAGTGAGAGGGCCTGGAGGGTAAAGGTCACAGTAGTGAGAGGGCCTGGAGGGTAAAGGTCACAGTAGTGAGAGGGCCTGGAGGGTAAAGGTCACAGTAGTGAGAGGGCCTGGAGGGTAAAGGTCACAGTAGTGAGAGGGCCTGGAGGGTAAAGGTCACAGTAGTGCCCGTGGTGATGGTGCACTCGGGGCAGTGACCCTGAAGCTAGAAGAGGTTACAGTGGATCCCTGGAACAACCTCGGACATCTGGGTCCAGAAATGTGCAGTGCTAGGAACAGCAAAGATACTGAACCCTCAAGCTCCCAGGCCTCTGGTAGAGGACCCGAGCTTAGAGAGGGATAACCGCCCACGGAGGGTGAAAAGTGAGTGGACAATTCTTTTTTTTCATACAGTTCATAAATATCTATACACAGTATTTATCGATGAAACAATGTGAGTTTGTGTTCCCGTTATCTTTACAGCGGGTTATTTCCAGGTGCACTTTGCTGAATCATATTTATTCTTCAGAGATTACAAAGAAAGGAAACAGCTTTTTACATAAAGTAGGATATACTCCAGCGGAACCTGGAGAAGGCTGCTCTCTCTCGCTGCTCTCTCTCTCGCTGCTCTCTCTCGCTGGTCTCTCTCTCGCTGCTCTCTCTCTCGCTTCTCTCTCTCGCTTCTCTCTCTCGCTTCTCTCTCTCGCTGGTCTCTCTCTCGCTGCTCTCTCTCGCTGCTCTCTCTCGCTTCTCTCTCTCGCTGCTCTCTCTCTCTCTCTCTCGCTGCTCTCTCTCGCTGCTCTTGCTCGCTGCTCTCTCTCGCTGCTCTCTCTCGCTGCTCTCTCTCGCTGCTCTCTCTCGCTGCTCTCTCTCTCGCTGCTCTCTCTCGCTGCTCTCGCTCGCTGCTCTCTCTCTCTCTCTCTCGCTCTCTCTCTCGCTGCTCTCTCGCTCGCTGCTCTCTCGCTCGCTGCTCTCTCGCTCGCTGCTCTCTCGCTCGCTGCTCTCTCGCTCGCTCGCTCCGCTCGCGCTCTCGCTCGCTGCTCTCGCTCGCTGCTCTCGCTCGCTGC